ATGGTACAGGAAGCCTAGCTGTAAGAATATTCTTATTCATTACCGCTCTGCTCACCCCGTAAGGACAAAACAATCTGCCATCAGCAATATGTTAAGAGTTGCCAGTAAAGTCTTCTCCGATACGGGTCTCAAGACAGAATCGCTGGACACAGCTCGAAGGATTGCGGTCTCTAATGGGTATCCTTGCCGCTGCAAGGGGTAACAACGTGGGGGGCATTCCCCACCTCGTAGAATTTATGAACGAGCACCGGTCAATAACGTGACGTTTTGCCTACCGTTCATTTCCAACAAAATGAGCAGAGCAATTCGTGCATGTGTGACTAGGAGTGATCTGAAGGAAGAGCGCATGGCCGTAACCCGTGACCTCGCGCCCTTTCTCGACCTCTGCGAATTTTGAGATTACGCTGAGGTCAGAAAGGAGGAAGGCTTGCTCGTTGTACGCATACTGTAAACATTGGGTGGTCGATCTAACGCCCCGGCGATTCAGACCAAGGTAAGCCTCTTGTATACCGGGTTCTAGCGGTCTCTAGTCTAAAAAACTGTCTCGGGTTCATCTCGCCTCATTATAGAGTCAGTCTCAATGGTTTTTCGACTTTTTAGGCTCTGACGAAGGCGAACTCGTCGAAATGTTAGCCCAAATATACATACATATCAGTCAAAGGTCATGCCAAGATTAAGAGAAAGTCGATCTTGGTATATTCATGCGACTGTTATACTTCATTCACACTCTTAGCGAAGTTTTCCAAATTATGCCTTTTATTAGCTTCTTTTCTAGTTTCATCAGCATCTATAGAATGGGTGCTTGAAGATCCTTTCTGATTCGGCAAATGGTTTGATCTGAGTGGGAGGCGGTCGTTTGGCGCGGCCCTTCGCAGCCACTTTGCCAATGGGGCGCATGGGCTTCAACTGCCACCCATACAACGCAATCTGTGCGTTTACCAACTCGTCCAAATCGGCCAGTCTCTCGAATTACGATCAACTTTCGGTCTAATTACAGTTGTTTCGCACCCAGGCGCGAGACGAACCTGATTAAGTGTGAAGACTTTGGGGTCACCAAACTCCCAAACATCCTCGTTAATCTAGTTGTAAGTGAAGGAATTGAAAAGATTATGCATGGAATAATGGTTTGAGAAGAAAGTAAACTACATATTAACTTATTGGATTCAGAAGTTATTGTCATGCATAGATGAAGATGTAATAGTTAAATGTACATCTAACCCTTTCTCTTCCAGGTAAACAAGCATTCAGATGATTACTTAAACCCTTCTAGCATTAAGTGTCTGGAGCGGTTTTCTGGTAGGAACATCTCCATCAAGTGATCATAAATCTCCTTCCCCTGTTTTGATTTCAAAGTCCTTATAAGGTGTGCGAAAATCGTAGCGGATTCAACCACTGCCCAATTTCTGGCTAGAGAATGAAAAAATGATATATTCCTATGTATAGAAATGTATACTATAGAAATGTATATTGATGATATAATTTGCATAAAGGGGTGAACGAAATTAGCAACTCTTGGAACTCTTTACAATTTCCTTCCCTACTACTCGATTAGTGAGGATGACTAAATAGTTTGAGTCTTCGCTCCCAATCAGGGTCGCCTAATCATGTGCGAAGAAACTCTAATTAGTTAGATAGCTGGTCGTAAATCGAGGGGCCGACTGATTTGGACGAGTTGGTTGACACAAAAATTGCGTTGTATGGGTGGCAATGGAAGCCCATGCGCCCCAATGGCAAAGTGGCTGCAAAGGGCCGTGCCAAACGACATACACCCGGTCTCAGTTATAGTATGAGGTATGAGCAAACATCTGACTCTGGCTCCGTCTTGCAATAGTATTGTTGTAGGTCATCGGCGTGCAACAGCTCTACAAAGGTGGTCTAGCGTTTGGTGTGACTTGCTGTGACCCATCCACCTTGCGATCAACAGATCTCCCAGATGACTCCTCAGATCTCATTGAAATGCCACAATACTGGGTAGGCATCAAGGATATTGCCCTACAACCTCGAGTGAACACTGTGCTTAGTTTCTGGATTACTGATACAGGTAAGATATGTTTTGGCTGAAATTGCTCTCGAAGCCTGTAACAGTAGTGTGCGAAAGATCTGCATCCATCTACGGTAGTAGCAGGATTTGTTAGGATGGTACATACGTGCGTCTAGAGATGCGCGTGGCAAACTGCGCGGTGAAGATCGTGGTGATTTGAACGACTTTAGCGCCTATCATTGGAGTCCAAAGTTGAAGTAAAGTAGATTTTCAGTATCAGATGATCCTACTTATCTACTTTACTTCGAATTTGGTACCCCAAGTTTGTTAGGCGCTGAATCTTTCAAATTACCACTAAAATACGCCACGCAATTTGTCGCGCGTATCTCCGGACGCTCGTAAGTTACGTCCCTCAGGATTTGCAGCTCCATCAGTTAACTGTTGTCTCGAATCTTAAAATTGACATTTGTGGTTCTTCAGGCTCACTACGCACCTTTGTCGATTTTCGACTTTTTGTATGTCGCTTCAAAAGTTGTATGTCTTCAATATATCCTGCTTTTATTGGCGAAATTTTTCTGATTAGCTACCGGGTCATTACTTGTTTTATTACTGATGAAGCTTTGCTACGGGAAGTTGGGCACTGGAAATTAAACAAAACATACATTTTGCGTTGTGGTTCAAAGTGATTGCGAGTACGAACTGTAGTATCTGTTATGTTGGAACTGGAAACAGAAGTGTTCCTAGCAAAGTCTTGCTCTACAGTGCGTTTCATAAATATAAGGTCACCTTCGATTTTTGCGATTCTAGAGATTTCTCATCACAATGTACCTCCGTACTCAAATTTTGATCGCAATATCCTTCACCTCGAATTTTTTATGAATTTTTTATAGATAGTGCCGGTTTTGCACCGTTTCATAATTATAAGGTCACCCTGAGAAAGTAAATGATTTATTTACGTAGATGGCATATGTACAACAGCTATTAATCTATAGCTCCTCCTTGTTTAAGAGCAACATCAAAGAGCTGAGTGGTATACTAGAAACTAGGTTTCGAAGATGTTCCTCATCGATTGCTCTCCATGCTTCGATAATTGCCCGCTTCAGCTCTTCTGTGCCCTGAAATTGAAGGTTATTCGCATAAACCTGTAAGACTATTATGCCCCAGATACAGTACCGTTCAAGTAGAAATCACCTTGAACTTTTCTGCCATATCTCATCCCAAACTATATCTTTTTACCTGATTTTTTGATAGCACTTTTTTCAAACATTGCCGACTCTCCTGCGATGCAGAATTGGCGGTAGCTCTCTTCCAACAAAGTAGGTGAATTTTTTTCAAAGAACCTGCGAAAGGGGCATGTTTTTTGAAACAATTTCATTGTTTTTCGAGTCTAAAAATATTGGTGATTTTTTTGTTCTGTTAGCGGATAGCTTTCAGTGAGGAGACAAAACCCTTGCTCTCGCTTTCTAACCGTGAAGCAGCTCTGTGACATTGCCACGGGCAGTAAGCAGGAGTTGTCCCATGCTCAACATTCAAGGCTGTTTGTTGTACGAATGCCTGCGATCACGAAGGTGTTGAGTCTCTCACATGCCCAATCAAATGAGCCAGCTCGGGAAGGTTACGGATTTCCTTTCCTGAGGACGATAGGAAAATCATTTGTGCGTCGACCCAAGATTCCATACGAGCATCTTCCGATATAATGGCCGAAATATCGACGTCGGAGACGTCGCTACTATCTAGAGGTACCATCAAGAGACGCCTGTGGGTTGCTGAAATATATGGAGGAAGACTCGTCAAAAAGTATCTGGACTTTTGAAAAAACAGACGAGCTCGACTTTAATGGGCGCGTGAGCACCTTCACTGGACCTTCAACCAATGACGCGAAGTCATCTAGAGCGACTAGTCGAGATTGTTTTGCTTTGTTCACTTGGATGGAGGCGTTGTCTTGTTGAAAGACATAGTTGAGGTGACGGCGATGAGTAGAAAGGGTACTAGGTGATGCTCCAAGACGTTCTGGTAATCCTTGAAACCCATACTGCAGCTCACGACAATACAACCTCATTGCAGAACGCATCCCACACCATAGGCTTCCTCCACCGAAACTGCGACGGCTGAAGTAGACTGGTTCCTTCCTCAAGTCGCGTCAGTACCGCTTGTTTTCGTTAGGACCATCTAGATTGAATTTCTTTTCATCCGAAAAGACGACCCGAATAGGAATTACTTAGCTCTATGGTGAGATTTTGATGCAGATCTACCTTTGCCCAATCCCTCCTTAGGTTCATCTTTGCAAATCCGGATGGAGCATCTCTCTGGCGATCTTTGATTCATGGCACCTTCTTCATTGCTTGCCTGGTGATGTTCTCGCGTCTTCTCACTGCTGTCCAGACTGGTTTTCGACACAGAGAGGTTTAATTCCGATCGGGTCTGGTTCAAGGAGGGCACACTGTTGGAAACAGTCCTCAGAATGTTCGGTTCGTCACGGGCAGTAATATTTCATGGGTGTCCACAGTCGGTGCTATATCTTAGGACATCAGGGCTCTCCAGCAATTTTTAAATGGACGAGGGGATCTCCCTACTTGCCTGAAGATGGCTCGAGTACTGAGCCCAGCTTCATGGTGAGCCTTCTCATCAGAGAAAAGCAGATGACCACAAGCCATGTTGACAGTCAGGTTTAGAAATGCATTTGCTACACATGCTCACCTTTATAAGTATCTTCAACTACGAAACTTCCTCTCCTTCATGAATAATTGTTCACTTTCTCAGGGTGACCTTATAATTATGGGTCCGTTCAGAAATCGGAATCGGAATCCGCTCATGATTCTAGAAAAAATCCTGAATGACTGCTTCTTTTTGAAAGTACAAAATTTGAGGGTGACCTTATAATTATGAAACGCATTGTAGTTGTTGGGGTAGTCCTCAACCCGTGACATCAGATGGAGCCTGATCTCTAAATAAAGAACCCTTCCTATACCTTAGTAAGTGCGATCGAAGGTGGTATAGTGACAAGTTGCGCACACTGTTACATGCATTATCCTACTATATATAAACCGCAAATGTCCGTTTGTCTGTTTTTCTCTTTGTCTGTTTGTCTGTAACTATCTTATATGGCGCCGTTTAGCAATCAACTGAAACAGCTCAGGCAGATTGGAACAAGTGGGAAATGAGGTTAGAACAAGTGGAGAATGAGCCGGGCTCCTTGGGTACACGTGACCTAAGCTAGGCTCCGCCCACTAGGGGCGGGGCTTGCGCGAATAGTGTTGTTCACCGGAAATCCGTAACTCCTTTGCTCTTAGTCTAGAGTAATAAAATTCGGCACAGATGCAGGCGACAAGATGGGGAAACTAATGGTAGTGACAGATGCAGACTCCGCCCACTGGGGGCGGGACTCCCTCAAAAACAGTTAGCTTGGACCTGGGTCGTTCAAATTTCGCAAAGATGCAGGCGGCAAGATGGGATAACTAGTGGTAGGTGACAGGTGCAGACACCGCCCACCTTGAGCGGGGCTTCCTTAAAAGTAATCAATTTGGACCTGGATGGTTCAAATTTGGCAATGATATAGGTGGCAAGATGGAAAACTAATGGTAGGTGACCCCACCCACTGGGGGCGGGGTTTGCTTGAAAATATCGAAATGGACCTGCCTGTCACGATTTTTGCACAAATTTCATCTAACAATATATTGGCCAGAGATCGTCGAATGGTGGGCTATCAAATGCCTACTGCGACGGGTGCGATTAAGTGTTGAAGTGTAAATAAATTCCCATTTCTTCTCTAGTGAAGTACAGATATTCCACAATGGTAAGGGGTAAAAAAGAAATTAATGCTTTCAAGGTCCTAACTTGCTTTTTTGGATTGTCTCAATTAGCTTACGGATAAATGAATGTCAATGGTTGCCAAATGCAGTTTGCTAGAAATGCGCGCTCTCGAAAAACGGCTTATGACGCCATTATTTGGGGTGGGAGAACGGTGCTGTCCATTTTTTGGAAGAGGGTGATTACTGTGTAGCTAAATCGATCACGCTCCAGGTTATCTTCAAGAGAATTCATTTATCGGCCCCGGCCAACTGGTTAGTGCATAAGCCAGCCGAGCCTTCCGTCCCTCCGGAGTCCATTCATAGGTGTCGGACTCGTCCGTGATAATAGAACCCATGACTTGCATATCGGCCGGCTACCAAAGTCATTGTTTTGCTGTGTAGGCAATCAAAATGCCCCTCTGATTCAGAACTGCGGGGGTACATCTTGCAAGAGAGGGATCTTGGTCGCAATGTCCATTCAAAATGGAATGTTGGCTCACAAATGTATTTTTAAACGCTGATTTCAAATCCTTACTTACTTATACTTATACTTATACTTATACTTATACTTATACTTATACGGCTCGTCTTCGTTCATGTGCGAGCACCACCAAAAAACCATTCGCTTCTGTCTTTCGCGATCGCCATCCACGGTAGACTCAGGATTCGACGGAGATGGCGATGTGAGGAGTCGTTCAGGTGCTGTCGCAGTTGTTTCACGTGATTGACAAGCACATCCCCCATCTCGCAGCAGGCGTACCCTTAGATCGTGAAGATCCTATGGGAGCTCACTCGACTGTTCTTCTTGTCCATCTGTCATCATCTCTTCTCATTATATGACCGGCTCATCGGTTTTGCGCTCCTCATGTACTCCACCGGATCGCGGAGTCGAGACATTCTGCGCCTATCGGAGCTCGACATCGCGTGAGTCGGCTGAACCTTAAAAGACATCGCTCGAGCGCTCTGTGTCTTGTGCTCAGAGCCCTTGACGTGGATGCACTTTTGATGATTTCAAATCAACTGTCCAAATCTGCGAATCGAACCTGAGAACGAAGTGGCGGAGGCATTTCCCTCTTGTTATATTACGGTTACGCCGAGCATGTATCGAGGTCGATTTGCAAAGCCAGATATGAAGGATAACGCAACAGGCAAAGCACAAGACTCACAGACGTGGCATGAGGGTTTGCATTCCGTTCTGCATTTTTATAAAATATATGCCAAGAGCTTGTAAAACACTTTTAGACCTCCCATTAACCAGCTGAAGCCCTTCTTAGCCACAAGGAATATAGGAATTAATTGTTAGATGGAGGCCAGTCCTGACTTTTCCTAGCCCTTTCTGCTCCACTAGGCCAGACATCAAAAACGGCACTAGAATACCTTCGACTGCGTCCTGTATTGTGGGTAGAAAGGATTGTAATGGCTCATCATCTGGCTGAGTATAAGTACTTCTGGAAAAAAATGGCTCCCATCCTTCGAAGCTTTTCTGAAGCGCACTGCTCTCACACTAATGAATCAATGGCATGACCCGTGATGCAAGAAGATGTTATTATTATAGGCGCCTCATGACCACACATGACATCAAAATTCAAAGCGTTTAAGGCAACACTGCTTTTCACAGTGAAGGCAATACATGGGAGAAGCCAGTCGCTTCCATCATTATAACCGCCCGCCACGGCGAAATGAGGAGCAGCATTGTCAAGGTGTTGTGATGAGCCAAATTGGAAATTTACAATCTCTCGCGATTGCTTTTGAATTCCGCCAAAGATTTTCGGCAACACTGGAGGGCGATTTGCTCCTGGAAAATGGAAGGGCCGGCCATCGAATTTGAAGAACGGTGGCCACTTTACCTGGACTACAGGAGCAGTGCTCACGGACGAAAACCTCGAACTTGGACGAGCTTCTCTTTCGAAACTATTCTTTATACTTTGTACAAGCTTGAAATTTTACGAGGATTTTCCATGTCCGCTATCCTAGAAAGCTGGACAGGATCAGCATTTGCGAGCTCTACGGAATAGTTACGCATGTTACTGCCAAGGAAAAAAAAGTTTTTGGCGGCAAAAAGGAGTAGAAACAGTCACTGAATCGGAGGGTTTTGCAACGGT